TGGTCTAATGGGTAAAGCTATTGCCCATGTTTCAAACATCCTATATGGGTGCTGGTTTGAGTCCCAGATTCTCCACATTCAATCCAACTCTCTATTAATGGCCTGGGAAAAACAGCAGAGGATGGCCCACCTGTTTGGACCTCTGATACCCATGCAGGAGACACTCCTGGCCCCAATCTTTGACCTGGATGTTGTTGCCATCTGGGGAGCGAACAAGCAGATGGAAGAGTCTGTCTCTCTTTTTTTTTCTCTCTCTCCCCCTGTTTCTCTCTATAACTCTGAATATCAAATAAGTAAATAAAATCATATATGTATATATGTATGCATCTATATGTACACACAATACACACATACACACACACATACTTCACAGGGCCAGTGTTGTGACATAGATTAAGTTGCCACTTGGGACATCAGCATCCTATGTCAGAGTGCCTGGTGTGAGCTCCAGTGCCCCTGATGTTGATCCACCTTCCAGCTAATGTGCCTAGGAAGACAGCAGAAGATGGCCCTGAGACCCTGCAATCCACATAGAAGACTATAATGGAATTTCTGGCTCCAGGCTTTGGCCTGGCCCAGACCTGGCTCTTGCAACCATTTGGGGAGTAAATCTGCAGATGGAAGATTCTCTCTCTCTCTCTCTCTCTCTCTCTCTCTGCCTTTCAAATGAATAAGTAACTCTTTAAAAATATATTTATACAGGCCGGCGCCGCGGCTCACTAGGCTAATCCTCCGCCTAGCGGCGCCGGCACCCCGGGTTCTAGTCCCGGTCGGGGCGCCGGATTCTGTCCCGGTTGCCCCTCTTCCAGGCCAGCTCTCTGCTGTGGCCAGGGAGTGCAGTGGAGGATGGCCCAAGTGCTTGGGCCCTGCACCCCATGGGAGACCAGGAAAAGCACCTGGCTCCTGGCTCCTGCCATCGGATCAGCGCGGTGCGACGGCCGCAGCGCACTGGCTGCGGCGGCCATTGGAGGGTGAACCAACGGCAAAGGAAGACCTTTCTCTCTGTCTCTCTCTCTCACTGTCCACTCTGCCTGTCAAAAAAAAAAAATAATAATATATATATATATTTATACATTACATGACTATTCTTCTTAAGACTTTTTAGTGGTTTGCCATACATTGATGATATATCTCAGGCTCCTTACCTCGTCTGTATGGTCTGACCTCTGACCACCTCTTGGACTTCATCTCTTTCCAAACTTCTTCTCACTGAATTACTGCCTCATTGACCTTTTCTGTCTGTCCAATCTCATTTTTAATTCGTGATATGACTTTTATGTTTTTTAATTTTATTTAAGTTATATAAGTTTCATGTATTTTATACATACAGATTTAGGAACATAGTGATACTTCCTACCCTACCCTCCCTCCTACCCATGCTCCAACCCTTCTTCCTCCTCCCTCTCCCATTCCCACTCTTAATTTTTACAAAGATCTATTTTCAGTTTACTTAATGATTGTAAGGTTAACCCTTAACTAAGTAAAAGAGCTCAACAAATAGTATGAAGAAAAAAAAAAGCAAAACACTGTTCCTCAATGGAAGACACAAGGGCTGTAAACAATCATCAGATCTCAAAATGTTCATTTCACTCCAATACATTACATTTTAGGTAATCTGTTAGTTATCTCGAATCAGGGGAAGCATTTGATATCTGTCTTTTTGGGACTACGCAGGTCTTTTTCGCTTATTTTCAGGCCTTCAATCCTTGGGCCATAGAATTGCCTACTATTTTCCTATTTGTGGTATCTCTCCCTCCACAAAGAAGACTTGAGAGTTTACAGCTCTTTTTTACTGCTATATTTTCAGGACGCAGAAAAGTCCCTGGGTCATAGTGATTAATAAATACACTGAACAAATGAATGATTACATTCAAATTTCTTTGGTATCAGTTATACACACTTGATGTACTAGCTAGTACTTTAAACTTCTTTTCATACTTTTAGGTTTTTGAGCATCTTGTTATATTACTCCTTATCAGTGTATCAGATACAATTTTATTTTAAAAATTCATTTTCCAAAGTGTATATTTAATTGAAACCTGAGCCACAGAGTAGCACTGAACTATGAACTGTTTTTTACCAGCATGCAACAAAATAAATACAGATAATATGAGAAAACACATAGAAATATTTATGGAATCACATTTTATGTCTGTTGAATCTAATAATAAAAACATCAAGGCTTACATTTTTACGCCTTTATTATATTTTTAGATATTTCATTTTTATTGTGCTTCACAAATATATTGACCATGACAACTGAGAATTTTGGAAAACTGATGTTTTAAGACAGTTTGAGGATTACTATTCTAAACCACCTCTCTTTAGAATTAATATGACCAAGGCTGGTTTTCTGGTTTAGCAGGTAAAGCCACTGTCTGCAATACCAGCATCCCATATGGGTGCCGGTTCAAGCACTGGCTGCTCCACTACTGATCCAGCTCCCTGCTAATACCCTGAGAAAAGCAGCAGAAGATGGCCCAAGAGCTTGGGCCTTTACCAGCCATGTGGAAGACCCAGGTGAAGCTCCTGGCTCCTGGCTTTGGCCTAGCCCAGGGCTAGCCATAATGGCCATTTTGGGAGTAAACCCATGGATGGAACATTCTTCTCTCTCTGTCACTCCCTCTTTCTCTATAACTCTGACATTCAAATAAATAAATAAATAAATCTTAAAAAAAAGAAATAATATGATAGCAGCTAGGGACTTTCGACCTACCTGTTAAGATGCACTTTTTAAGATGTTCATATCTGATATTGGAGTGCCTGGATCAAGTCTTGGCTCTGCTCCCAATTCTAGCTTCCTATAAATGCAGCAAGATGGCAGGTGAAGGTGCAAATAGTTGGACTGGCTCCTAGCTTTGACCTTGCCCAGCCTCAGCCCTTGTGGGCATTTGAGGAGTGAACCTAGCAGATAGGAGCTTTCTCTCTCTCTCTGTCCCTCTCCCTTTCTTCTCAAATAAATAGAATAAAATAAATTACTTTGGAAAAGAAGTAATATGATAGCAATACTTAATTGCTTAATAAGGTTATAATTTTCAATTTATCATGCGTTAGGAGCAGATCCAAATTTATCTTGCTGCAAATAGTAATTTTTTTCTACCAAAAGAATACTGAGTTTAAAAATACAATACAAGTTAGGAGGATGGGGAAAATATTGTTGGAAATAGTCTTTGATTCTGCTTATGGTTATCATTTAATAATAAAGTCTATTTGAAATAATAGAGGAATCTGAATCAATGGTACTATAATTGTAGTATCCATACTGTACTGTTTTGTAAGAGTTGTGCAGAGAACAGGCCAATGAGCTACAGAAACAAGACTGTGAGGAAGCGTGAGGGAGTTAAGCATCCCGGCCCATGCCTGTCCAAATGCAGTGTCTTGACTGTTCATCAGCACAATCTCAGTTCTCATCTTACTTAAACCTTAAGTAAACTAAGTGAAATAGGAAAGTCTCATAATAGAGCCATTATTTCTGCAGTAATAAAGTACTTCCTTCCTAAGAGATATAAATCGTGGCTGTTTACACACAGGTGCTTCTGTTCCCTTGGCCTTGGTCCCTGGGCCTTGGTTCTGGGCCCTCTTCTCTGGCAATACTGATGGTGAAGAGAGGCAATAGTAACTATAGATACGAGCCCATCTCTTGTCAGTAATTATCCCTGAATACTTCCACATGACCTAAACACACTTCACAAAGGCCACCAAAAAGCCACAACCACAATCATTCTTGGTCACTACCAATTTGGGCTGGATTTGATTCAGTGACTTAGAGGTGAAAGGCTCCATATTCAATTACCAGGCCCCCAGCTCCCTCAATTAATCAGAGGCTGACACAATGGGTCTATCACACCTCTTTAAAAAAAGGACTAGACCAAATCAATATAATCACTTAATAACTATACAAAGAAACATTAATAAATAGTATTTAAATATAAATACAAATACTCAATGCTATTTAAATACAAGACATCAGAGTGCATTACATCTAGAGTTTTATTATAGCATACTTGAATGCATTCAGAAGGTATACTTTGAGCTTCTATAACAAGCTTCTTTGGAGAAACTCAAATGCTTTCACTTTTATTACACCATTTATCCTGCAGTTTTGTTTCTATATAGTTTGTTGAGGGATTTATCTGGTCAATTGGAGTACTATGATAGATTATATCTATTATGATGGCACAGGTGAACTGCTCACTAAACGGGGATCTCTTATCTGTCATTGCATCAAGAAGTCCTAATGAACTCAAAGAAAAGGTGGAACTTGAAAGATCATAAAGGAAGCAACAATGAGGTTGCAAATCACTAGCAGTCAGCGACTACTGACGTCCTAGGCAATAAAATGTTTCTGATACTAACACCATAGCCATATAAACTCAGAGGAAACTACTGGAAAAGTCAAAAGCCAACGAATCCAATCTGAACTTTTAGTGACACTATCAACATGCATAAAGTCATTTAAAGAGTTCAAAGTTTAACCTTATGTCTGAAATTCAAGGATAAAGTCAAGGCAGAGAATACATTTCCCTTCATCTCCATGTCAAAATAAGAAACCACCCTCTACCTGCCAAGGAAAGTGAGGACTATTTATATAGTGATTTATATTTTAAAAAATAGTATGGAGTTCTTTGTATTAAGGATATAAAAGAAAGCTCAGGTTATCTTATTCATTAATAAGTTAAAGTTAGAGACTTCTGAGAGATTCTGAAATCCTTTACTTTGGTGTTTTATTTTGTCACCTTTCTTCCCTTTTTAATATGTTCCCATTGATCTTACCTTTTTCATTTTTTACATCAGCTGTCAGGCACCACCCTGCGCTGGTCATCAGGATGCCAGAATCCTTGTCAGAAGCTTATTCCTTTGAATCCAACCCCTTGGGTGCTAAAACCTTCTCAGTCACTTTTCTGCCCTTCATCCTTGCAATTGCCATCTTTCTAATTGGCATCTTGGAAAATGGGAAAGCAATTCCTATACTAACACATAATCTCTCCAATTATCTGCAGGTTGTTCCCTCCTGACAACATGTGGGGTGTTTGTTAATGCCCTAAAAACATGCTGCCTGCAATTTTACCAGGGTGGCAGAGATGTGACAAGCTGGTTAGACCATGCCAAGGAAACAAATGGTGGCTGCTACAGTGAACGCCACGTAGGAGACACAAAATATTTCTTTACCCTCCTCCCTCTCTTCGTGTTTCAGCTTTCATACAGAATGTGCATGGTGCAGGTAAGGAGGGACAATGGATACTATGTCAACAACACAGTGATTGTGTGGTACCATAACCAGTCCCATGTATTTTCATCCAAAAGCATGCTCTTATGCACAGTCGGGTGGTTACCCCACAGATGCTTCTAACCATTGTGGGCGTTGAATTCAAGAGCTAAGAGGGGTAGGCAGGGGCATACCCAAGGATCCCTGGGTATGTGTTGCCTTTGTACAACTATAAATGGTCGTCAGTGGGTGCAGACCACACTTCAGAGTGCAGAGGCATAAGGTACAAAAAAAGCAGACAAAAACATCAAATCTATAGGCAATTACCAAACCTCCCTTTAGCCAAAGGTTTTGCTTTCCTCCCTCATTAAACCTTTAAAAAGTGGTACTAACAAGCAACTAATTTGACTGATTTGAGCACCACCTTCGCCGTACTCTGAAGTGGAAGTACTAATGAGCAACTGATTCTCTCTCCACCCACTCTATTAGTTCCTTGGGGAATCAGTCCCTGTGCTGTGAGGAAATCAAAGGGAAAACACTAAGCCCAAAGTATCATTTCCAGATATAAGGAATTTAAATTTTTCTTTAGTGTGGTTATAGTCAAAGACAAACTTAGAGAAAAAATAAATGATTATAAAAGTCTGGGCAAATTTACGACTTTCTTGCTAACTCCTAACTTGGGATTTAGAAGGCAAATGAATGACTTATAGTCATAAACAACTACATCATTTGGTAATGATAAAGCTTAGGCTTAGAAAAATTATGTGATATTTTCATAGAGCTGAGAGAGGAGGTGGATAGTAGGCCCTAGGTAATAGTAGTGAAATGAAAAGTGGAATTCACTCTGTGACACTTAGTAATGCTGACTCCATTACATCAGAAGTTAGCAAAAATATTACCAAAATACAGGCCCAATCCATTCCACTGCCTTTTTTGTACATCCTGAACGTTAAGAATGTCTATTGCATTTTTCTATGGTAGAAAAAAAATTAAAAGAAGAATAATGTTTTGTAGCACATTAAAAAAAATGTGAAATTTAAATTTCAGTGTCCTGAAATAAAGTTTTATCAGAACCCAACCATACTTATTAGTTTGTCTTATCTATGCCTGCTGATGCTCCAGCAGAATTGAGTGACTGCTACAGAACCCCGATGTGAACATAATTGCTCTCTAGTCCTTTATAGAAAAGTTGACTGAACCCTAGACTAAACCATGCATGAAAGCTGGTCCCATTTAGGAAATTTAGCCTCTTTCCTGACTCAACAAGAGAAACGTGCACAAAAACAGAATATAACTAAAATATTTTAAATCTCATGAAAAATAAAATTAAAAGATAAGTTCATTTTAGTGCAAAAAGTTCAAATCAAGGGGTCTTCAAAAAATTCATGGAAAATGTATATCATGATAAAAATGCTCAAAAATTTCATTTTTTGTATCAAAATTATCTTATCATTTACTTCTATTTTCCACAAACTTTTCCATGTATCTTAGTATATAGCCCTACTATCATAAAAACTTCTTAAAATAGGGACTAGTGTTGTGGTGTAGTGGGTAAAACACAGCCTGCAATGCTGGCATCCCATATGGGTGCTGGTTCAAGTCCCAGCTGCTCTATTTCCAATTCAGCTCCCTGGTAATGGTTTGGGAAAGCAAAGAAGGTGGCCCAAGTGCTTGGGCCATGTGGGAAACTCACTCATGTGGGCCTGGCCTTGCCCTAGCCATTGTTTCCATTTGGGGAATGAATTAGCAGATGGAAGATCTCTCTCCCTCCCTGTCTCTCCTTCTCTCTATGTAACTCTGATTTTTAAGTAAATTTTAATGAAAAAATAGTAAAATAGAAAAACTAATAGGGAGTACAAATGTAGCAAGTGATCCATAGCTAATCTTAAAATCTCTATACAAATTTCCCATATTTTCAATTTTTTTAAAAAAAGATTTATTTATTTAAAAGTCAGAGTTACAGAGAATGAGAAAGGAAGAGACAGAGAGATCTTCCATCTCCTGGTTCATTCCCTAGATGGCCACAATGGCTGAGGCTGGGTCTCCCATGTGGGTGGCAGGGGCCCAAACACTTGGACCATTCTATGCTGCATTTCCCAGGCAATTAGCAGAGAGCTGGATTGGAAGTGGAGCATCCATATTGGATGCCAGCATCACAAGTCACGACTTTACCTGTTACGCCACAACACTGGCCCCTCCAATTCTTTACGTTCATAATGCAATAACACCTGATATTTCTTCCCACTTAGTTGGAGCCTTCCCTGAAAATTATCATATATGATTTAATTAGAAATAAATTATAAGTTTTGGCAAATTAATTTTAAGCATATCATCACATCTAGATGACCTGCTTATTGCAAACAGTAAGAACTAATATTTATTGGTCACGTGTTATGCATAACATCTTCTAACAGTATCTAATCATTGCAGCAAGCCTGCATTACTAGTAGTATTATCCTCAATCAGAGGCTCAAAGACAGTAATTTGCAACCTGCTTGTGGTTACCTTGCAGATGCATGGCCGAGCGGTCATCCGAGCTCAAGGCCAGTATTAAGCCCCATGCCTTACTCTCACATACAGTACCTCTTTTGCTCTGGAATACAAATCCCCGATACAGACTATATAGGTTGCAAAATTATACACAGTGATATTATACTGGGAACTTCAAAGAAAATGTTAGACTACACTTTTCCCGGGAGGCAGAAGAAACTTCCACCAGGATAGGCTGAGACTAGCTTTTTGCCCCTGGATGAAATAATCACCATTACAAAGGCAATCAAAGTACCAAGAATAAAACATCATAGTGTTCCATATTTTAGATTTAGTAGCCATTATTGACCTTCAGTTCCAAGACATACATTTAAAATATGTTGATATTTCAGCCAATAAGGTAGCCATTTGACATTACTGGCCACTCAAAGGTGAAAATGAATCTCTATTGACAGCAATTACTTTGGAATACTCAGAGGCTTGTATGAAATAAAAGTATTTAAAATTTTAAAAGGGGATGATTTCAGAACTTGAGGCAGAAGCAGAAATGATTTCAAGCTTTCAAGACACTGGAGCCTTTTCTTAGATTAGGCAATATATTAATATTGCTTCACTAAAGATTAATAGTACATTTGCCACATTATTAAGTTAACAGGTCTCTGTGTCTGTGATTCATGCCGATAATAACTTTATTCCTATTAACAGTAATTCTCGTTTGAAATCAGTAACAGAAACTTCCAAGTTGTGCTGGGAGCCTTTCAGTCTTACAGTTGTTCTGCTGCCAGCACTTTTTTAAAAAACACATCACTCATTTCCCTCTGACTGGGGGATCCGTGCTTAATAATTTTATTGAAGTAGGGCAGAATTAGCTGATGTTCCCTTCACTCTTGTCATCTGTTCCCAAACCAAATGACCTTTGTTTATTATCCTATGTTTCAAATTGAAGATCAGAGGATAAATTATCACCAGGAAACGTTTCACCTGGATAGAACCTCAGAGAAGGTGTATTCCTCTTCTGTGTGTAGGCAGTCAACAAAGCAACTAGCTCATTTTATAACTGGTGCACTTATCAGCCATGCTGACTCGGTGTCTCTGATTCTGTGTATACCTCTCAAGATGTACAGCTGATGGAAGAAGGTTTCAAGTGGAAGCTACCATGAGGATGTTTGAGCAGGATTGCTCTCCCTGAATGGTGCTAAGGCAGGAATCCTGGCGCAGTTATTGTTGTGTAAGAAGAATAGTTTACAGAATCTGTTCCTCAAGGAGAACAGTTGACTTTTTGTCCATGCCACTCAGTGACTTTAGGTGCTACTGAGTATTAAGAAAGTACTATGTACTAGTACTAGCTATAATAATGATATGATGATTGTAATTAAGTTTATGAATTAAATAGTTCCCTTTCTTATATCATGGCTTAATTCTGATATTATAACCTATCAACAGGCCTGAAATGCATGTTAGTAATAGGATTATACTTAGCTTTGGGGTTATTTTTAAAAATGAAGGAATTCTAACAATTTGAGGTTTGAGGGTTTGAGGTGCAACAGAATCTTCTTTTTAAAATAATTATCTTTTAGTTTATTATGCAAACTTTTTTCACGTAATTCCCTTTGCTGTATACTAGTATCATGAAATTAAAAAGAGGGCCAGAAAGATTTTCTTTCATTTTATTCATGTTACTTGGCTCACATTAGAAACAAAGTCAACCCAGGAAGCCCACAAAGAGAGCTCACAACAAATAATGTGTCCACACTGGGCCCTTCTTCCTAGGGGGGAAAAAGATCATTCCAACCTATTCTGCCACCAAACAAATGTACTTAGGGAATCTATCACAGTACCAATTTTTTTTTTCATCAGTGCAAAATGAGAAATCCTTAATATGTTGTCCTTGGCTTTTGCTTTAATGTTCATGAAAAAAAAAAAAACTGGTGCTTAGATTTAAAACTTCAGTTATTTGATTTGTTACATGTTATCTTAAGCACAAAACTAAGGCCACCATTACTTCTCATAGGGAAATTAAGAGATAGAATGGCAAAAGGGAACTCCACAAAGATTCAGTAGTGTTGTCTATAGACTAAACAGAGCTGCTACTGCTAGAGAGAAAGATCAAGCTGCAGTTGAGACCTTGAAAAGCTCAGGAACCTCTGACTCATCAGACGGAGGTGAGGGGGTGGGCGGGGATGGTGGTGCATCCGGCAGAGAACACTTTCTTCAACATGAAACCATCTTTTTAATGCCTGGGTGCTTTGCTCCTCGAATACAGATTCCTTCAGGATATTATCTGCAGACCATGAATTCCAACCTGCTTATGGATGGATTCCTTCTGCCCATCGCAGTTATGAATGCCATCAGCATCCTACCTTTCTTAATACTGACACCACTTATGGAGTATTTCACCACCTGCCTGTTTCCTTCTAAGAAAGATGGGCCATTTCTATCAGCATTCATTAGTAAGTAAAATTTATCATTTCAAGTGAATTGTTTGCAACTTGACAAAACCACTCTGTTAAGATCTAAATAAGTAATATGTTTCTGAGTATGATCAGATTTTGACAAGTTGGATAGAAAATGAATTTTGGGTAATAACATCCAGTTTCCTAAATCTCTATCTGGATATCAGTGCCCCTTTCTTTTAGCCTCATCAGAAAACACACCTGATATAATGAGACGATGAAATTTCCAGCACCCTTTATAAAAGGGCTTACCTATGTTCAACTGAGGCAGTCCTTGATACTAGCTCAAGGTTAAATGTGTTCTTACAAATGAACATATTTAATGAATCACCAAAAATAGTTGTAATTGCTGAACTGGTAGTAAACTTTATTAAAAATTAGTATCATTCTCACAACTTCACTATAGTATTTTTCATCTAGTACTGTATGTGGCAATGATTTTTGCAAGATTGTAAGATTTTTTAAGTGAAACACTTTAGAATATCTTAGAATACAATCAATAGACCATAAAATAAATTTTACCTGATTGAAATGAGAGAAGGAACTCTAAGTCCATTCTCCTCTGCCTAATTGTGTTCCTCAAGGCATTATTAGGGAACAGGAGAGCAAAGGCTGGTAGAGTACCACCAGTCTCAATCTAAGAATAAGTGTTTTAACACCTACTCTGCCACTGGTATACTACTAGGTGTCTTTTTCCTTAATATTTTCACTAAGGTGCATACCCTGGATCAATCTTTGGTCCCTTCGTTCTGTAAGACTTTTGAAATCACTCAGGATGACACTCATGCCCGGAACATAGCCCTTACACATAGGGAAAGCTCTGTAAATGTTAGCTATTATTAGGAGTTGGCCTTTGCACAGAACACCTCTCATTGTGTGACAGGCACAAACAGAAAGCAAAAGGAGTTTGAAACTCTTAAGAAATATCATGCAGTGGTACCTAAAGTTTTGCCTTTTACTTGAGAAATAATCTCATTGAAATAGTCAAGGTCAGGCATAGAAAGGATCCTCTTGTTCTTAATCTCTGTTTTAAGAATCTATGGAGGGCTGGGACCTGCACTGTGGCACAGCAAGTTAAAACCCTGGCCTGAAGTGCCAGCATCCCATATAGGCACCGGTTCTAGTCCCGGCAGCTCCACTTCTGATCCAGCTCTCTGCTATGGCCTGGGATAGCAGAAGATGGCCAAAGTCGTTGGGCCCCTGCACCCATGTAGGTGACCCGGAAGAAGCTCCTGGCTCCTGGCTCTGGATCGGCTCAGCTCCGGCCGTTGCGGCCATCTGGAGAATGAACCAGTGGATGGAAGACCTCTTTCTCTGTCTCTACCTCTCTCTGTAACTCTTTCAAATAAATAAAATAAATCTTAAAAAAAGAAAAAGAATCTATGGAGAGGTCAGTGCTGTGGTGTAGCCGGTAAAGCCACCGCCTACAGTGCCAGGATCCCATAAAGGCGCCGATTTGAGTCCCGGCTGCTCCTCTTCCAATCAAGTTCTCTGCTATGACCTTGGAAAGCAGTAGAAGATGGCTCTACTCCTTGGGCCCCTGAACCTGCGTGGGAGAACCGGAATAAGCTCCTGGCTCCTGGCTTCGGATCGGCATGGCTCCAGCCATTGCGGCTATCTGGGGAGTGAACCAGAGGATGGAAGACCTCTCTCTCTCTCTCTCTCTCTCTCTCTCTGCCTCTCCTCTCTCTGTGTAACTCTGACTTTCAAATAAATGAATAAATCTTTTTTAAAAAGAATCTACCTTAAAATCTTTTAGACACACATTTTTTTCCTGTTTTTCTGTTTACAGAGGCCACATTTTAGCACATGGACTTATCAAAGCTGTCAACCAGATGATTCCACAAGACTTGTTTATTCTGGGTAACAACGCAAAATGACTAAACTCACCTAAATGTACTTTATTATCTTCAATTGCAGATGCCCATAGTACATATCTTTTTCAATTTATTTCTTAATCCAGTAACCTTGACTTTGCTTCTGGTAATAGGCTTTAGCAAACTATAAATTTCAATAGATTTTGACAACTCCCAGATTTTAAAAAGTGCTTTTTCTGTTGGCCAGTGTAGAAACCCAAACATAAGTAAGTCTTTAGTGAATGTCCTGCATTATCTTGGACACTTTGAAAAAAAGTTAAATAAAAAAAATTATGGGCCGGCACCGTGGCTCAATAGGCTAATCCTCCACCTTGCGGTGCTGGCACACCAGGTTCTAGTCCTGGTCGGGGCGCCGGATTCTGTCCCGGCTGCCCCTCTTCCAGGCCAGCTCTCTGCTATGGCCCGGGAGTGCAGTGGAGGATGGCCCAAATGCTTGGGCCCTGCACCCGCATGGGAGACCAGGAGAAGCACCTGGCTCCTGGCTTTGGATCAGCGCGATGTGCCAGCCTCAGCGTGCCAGCTGCAGTGCGCCAGCCACGGCGGCCATTGGAGGGTGAACCAATGGCAAAAAGAAAGACCTTTGCCTGTCAAAAAAAAAAAAAAAAAAAACCTTAAAAAAAAAGTTATGAAGTTATATGTGTGTAGCCTCAATGCTCCTGAAACAGAATGAGTAAAGGAGAAAATGAGTGTAAATTTAAACTGCAAAATGCCAAAAATCTTGGCAATCTTTCTCAGAAGCATGAGATATTATGTGTGAGCTCCCAAATGATGTTTAATTACTAAACATGTAAAACTCTGAGTGAATTTATTATACAACATTGCTAAAAGAACTAAATTAGAAATCTTCCCACCCTAAGAGTCAGAAATCTTAAATTCAGTATAAATATGAGTAACTTTCTCCTGGACAATTCTCCACTCCTGCATATTTGAAGTCATGTCTATTCTTAAAGAAGAGTAGTTTGCTTTTCTGAGGGAAGTTAGACACAGTATCAAGTGTATTGTTTAATGTTGTTAATGAATTAATTATTTCCCTTCAAGATGGTAAGAAGACCTGTTGCATAAGAAAAAGGAAAAGCTAGATCTACTTCAAAAGAAAACCAAGTTGTATTACACTGGGGACAGAATACTGAATTCAGTTCTTCCTGAACCAGACTCCATTCATTCATTCATTTGCATATTTGTTCATTTATTTGCATAACATTTTGCTAGGGAATATAAAAGTGTGATGATACACATCTTCTAACTAGATATTTGCTTGTTTTCCATATTCTGGTTATGATTATGGAAGATTAACACAAGACATGAAAGTACAAACGTAGGGTACCTTGATACTAATTTACATAATTGAATTAAAATTCTCTTTCACTTTGAACTTAAGTGTCTGAAAATGGGGGTGAAGCACATAAGTTTATGAATTATGAATGAACATGTATTTATGAGTTCCTGACTTGAACCTAGGCACCTTCCTGTGTGTACTACAAATGATAAAACATCATTTAATAGATGTAGAGTCACAAAGATTGTGTCATTTGATATCAGGGCTTCTAATTCTAAGGCCACTGCATTATTATTATTATCATTATTATTACTATCCTACTGACCAATATGTAGCAGTCAGATTATAGAAATTATCAGTGTTAACTTAAAACACTGTGATTTCCAACCAGCACTCTGAAGTATATGGAAAGCTCCTTTTGTCACCTCAATGAGCAGTTACTCCATCTACAATCTTGTTCCCTTCTGTATTCAGCCACACCCCTTCCAGACAGGGTGATGGTTAAGTAAGAAGAGGGTGAAAACAATGCCAAAACCCATTTGACATGCAAAACCCCAGCCAAGAATTCATCCCATTGGTCAAACTAGAAATTTAATAAAGGAAAAGGATTTTTTAAATTAGTTTATTGTCTTTCTCTAAATTGCAATGTAACAGACGTGCTTATTCAAGAAATGGTATTCCTAAGTTCATCACCTAATGAGATCAAGTATCCAGGGTACCAATTATTTTTTAATTATTAAACTTTCCAGGATTGTGAAAAGCAAAGATTTCGTGTGCTCAGAATGTTGTACAAAGGCTTTATTTTCCTAATATTACACTTGAGTAGATTTATCTTTTTAAAATTCAACTTTAATTCACTAAGAATCTAAAATTAATGATATCATAGTGATTTATCCTTTGTCATTATTGAGCATACTCCATTTTAGCCTTTTTCAGTTTAAAAACGTTTACACCATGAGTATTTCCTTTTCGTAGCATTAATTAAAATCCTGCAGTATGTGGCGTTCAGCAGTTAGTGCTGACATACACAAGTATTAATCTGACTAAAATTAGCCTAATTAAGATTGTTATTAAGTCTTACACAAAGCAGAAGTGTACAACACAGTAGGTAGCAATTATCTTGGCTTTTAAATAACATTTAAATTGAAATACAGATGAAGTATATCCAAATATTCTCCTAACTTTCCTCTTTTAATAATTGTTGTAAGATTGTTTTTAAAATTTTTCATTTGATAGGCAGAGCAAGAAGACAGAGAGAGAGAGAGAGAGAGAGAGAATTTTCCCATTCATTAGTCATTCTCCAAATGCCCACAACAGCCAGGACCTAGTCAGGCAAAAGACAAAATCCAGGAACTCCATCTAAGTTGTTCATGTGTGTGACAGGGACCCAGCTACTTGAGGCATTATTTGCCACCTCCCAAGGTTTACCTTAGCAAGAAGGTGGATTGGAAGCAGAGGAACACGTGATGTGGGATGTAGATATCCCAAACAGCAGCTTACCACTGCACCACAAAGCTCACCCTGGAACACTCCCTTTAAAAGAAAAATCTGAGCAGTCTGTTGAAATCTTTACTTAGTATATACTAAGTTGATCTTCTGTATATAAAGATAATTGAAATTGAATCTTGATGAAGAATAGAATGGGCGAGGGAGTGGGAGATGGGATGGTTGCTGGTGGGAGGGAGGTTATGGGGGTAAAAGTCGCTATAATTCAAAAGTTGTGTTTTGGAAATTTTTATTTATTAAATAATAGTTGAAAAAAATAAAAGAAAAACCTGAAAATTCAACATGTAACTAAAGGTTGTATATGATACAGGTTAGCCAAAGTGTTGGTTTGTTTAGAC